TGCCCCCCATCCTTCCCAGAAGGATGTATCCTTAGGATAAGGTGCAGAAGGATGTGTCCCTAGGATAAGATGCACCCTGTGATGAGGTTTGCTCTTCATTCTGTGCTCAGACAAAGCCTCCATCCATGTCCAGAGGCATTTTCCAAGTGTGGGGGGCACGAATCCAAACGGTGGCCATGAGAACAAGCCTGAGAAGCAGCCAAGCAGCCCCCGACTGCAGTGCAGCAGCGGCTCTGACAGGGAAATGTTAATCAGGGGGAGAGCTCTGCCAAGGCTTTCATTAGCCCTGATGAGGTCAGGGCCTGGCGCAGGCAGCTGGCACTGGCACTGTCCCCTGGCAGCTCCAAGGACCAGGCAGAGGTGGCTCTGATGGTGGAGGGCTCTCAGAGGCTGCCTGCTCACTCTCATTCCTCCTGAGATGTAAATGCAAAATATCAATATCAATAAATCTAATCTTTCCCTGGGTTTGAGTCCTTTCGTGGCCCAAGCGCTTTGGAAGGGCCACAGCAGGAAAATAACCAGACCCAGTAAATTTGATCTCTCCTTTTTAGCGCAGCTGATAAGCAAATAATGGAACACAGACGTCAGTTTTCCCCACAGAAGAACAGTGCAGCACCTGGGGCATCTCTCCCTTATCCAACCTGCTCTGCATCCACTCCTGGAGCTGTGTGGCAGCACAGGGACACCTGGCAGGGCACTGAGGAACACAGGCACAGCAACAAATGTCACCCACCCTGGTGACAAGCAGAACTCAGGAAAGGACTTGTGCTGTTACACTGTGCTGGTGTCTGCTCCAAATCCAGAGATGTTTTGGGCTCTTGGCAAATTCTGATTGTTTTTTGCCAGGGGGATGGATAATCATCACATTGTTTCCACAGTCGTCCTACAAATTATTTTGATAATAAGGGACCTCCTGTGACATTAAGTACATTTTAATTACAACATTGTCTGTAATGCATATATCTAATTGCAAATAATTATTTTATCATATTTTGTCAGTAGGCCTGTTAGATGCATCAGATATTATCTTCTGACTCAGTGGTACAGGTTAATTAAAATTTCTCTTTTAATACTGTTTCAAAGCCAACCACATAATTTCATCTGAACACCAGCTGTGCCAGTAAAAAATTATTTTTTTGTTAGTTTTTGTCATGCTTGTCCATGGAGGAAAACCTGAGCTGTTTCTGCAGGCTGTAATTACTGCACTGCTTTCTGCAGTCGTTCATTTGCAAAGGAAGAAAAGAAGGAAGAATGTGTGGAACATCAGTGGCCAGTGGTTGCTTTGTGTGGTACTGCTTAATTTTGAAGGATTTTTTTTGTTCTCCTTCTCATGTACAAAAAAGCATTTGAGATCTTCTCTTCAGAAGGAGAACTGAGGATACCACACAGCCTGGTTTGTCAGGATAAACTGCACTAAGACAATCACAGTGGTCATTCTGGGTGCTAACAAAGCACAGCTTAAAGGTGATCTCAGTCAGAGTGGTCATTCTGGGTGCTACCAAAGCTCAGTTTAAGGGTGATCCCGGTCAGAGTGGTCATTCTGGGTGTTTACAAAGCCCAGCTTAAGGGTGATCCCAGTCAGCAGCTTCCTCCCTCATTCATTTTTCCTCTGAGTGATAAAGACCCAACACAAGATGAGAGAAAAATGAAAGCATGAACATAACTTTCAGTCAAAGAAAAAAGAGACTTCAGGTTAAATACACAGCAATGTAAACCCAAGAAAGCTGAGGAGGGGGGGCGAGGACAACAAAAACTCTTTCTGCAGGTGGCAGGACCCTTCCCCTGTAACTTGCAGGAACATGTGACCCTTATTTCCCCCTCTGAGCATCATTTGCTGGGACCAGAAGTGTTTCAACCCATCAACCCCTCCGAGCTGTTTCAGACCCCACACTCTGAGCCCGTGTGCTCAGGGCTGGCAGGGACAGGGTTAACAGCGTCCCCAAGGGAGGGGACCGGGCTCTGCCTCACCCGGCCAGAGGTGAACGCTGCCAGAAGGAAATTGCTGCTGCAGCTCCAGCGAGATCACAAGTGACCTTTCCTCTTGGAGAGGGGCGAAGTAAACAACACTTATCTGGGATTTAATGCGCCCGAGACAAGCAGCGCTTTATCTCTGCTCCACACCACAAGGAGCAGGGAGGCACAGGGATGATTTTCCTGTTTTTACCACATAAGCCATCTCTTAGGACAGCCCTCAAGTTGAGCTGAAGCGTTTCCTCATGGAAAGATCTCTCTTGGAGCAGCAGTGGGTTATGGGCTTGCACGATGTGCCACACAAACTCCTTGGTGCAGCTCAACCTTTGGCAAAGGCACTCTGAGCACTCCTTGGTGGGTTGGTATTTTTACTCCATGAAATTTTCACTTCCTCCAGACTGTTTCCTTTAGGGACATGCAATCCCTGTTCTTTCTATTTCGGAATTTTTTCCATCAGTAGACATAAATCCTTCCCTTTTCCCCTCTGCACAGTTGGAGATTCTGGCAGAAGGAAATCTGACAGGGCTTTTTGACAGTGGATTTCTCCTGTCTATCATTTTTACTATAAGAATGACATCTGACTGCCTCATATGCTGCAATGGGTGGAAAATTTTCCACCAGGTTTTTCCTAAATAAACCTCCCCAGGCCAAGAGACAGTGAGAACTCCTTTGGGTGCCAAATGAGAAGGGCTGGAGGAGACCCTCAGTGAGGGTTAAATGGATGAGACACCTTTGCTTCCATAAACTCCAAACCTTTGCAGAGGTTGATCCATGGAAATCAGATCACAGGATCCAGACTTAGAAGAAATCATTTAGCAGAAATTCAGCACTTTCTGTGTGGTTTGAGCCTGAAACAGAGCTTTGCAGGAGCAGGGATCCATGCCTGCATGCCCTACAGGAACACTGCTAGGAAAATAACCCCTCAAACCCGGAGCCCACTGGAAAAGTCTTTTCCACAGGCTTAGTCATACCAGGGCAGAGAGGGCAGAGCCTCATTTCATTATGCAGCACGCTGGCACAGCACCAAAGCTCTGCACCTGAGCCAGGAAGCATCCAGGGAGCTGATTCCAATGCAGGGATAAGCAGCTCAGGCACCTTAATGGATGTGTTGGACCAAGGATATGCAAGAGGACACAAAACCAACTCTGGAAACTCAATCTGAAGCATTTGGTTCGAAGGACAGAAAGTCAGCAGTGGCATTCCATGCTAAGGAAACCATTACCTCACCTGTAGGTTGTCTCCTGTGTTTGCTTTTCCCCTACCTTTTCTCCTGGGCTCAGTATAAAGTGTTGTATTGACACAAGCAAGCGGAGGAGTTCCGTAATTTAATCTCTGCCATTAAAATTTCAGGCTCCACGGGAAAAGAAACCCTGCCTGTTCATCAGGTCCAGCGAAATTCAGGTGGCAGCCGGTGTCACATTTCCACAAACTCCACAAACCCTGCACACCAGGCTGCTTCCAGCATGGGGGGGAGGAAGGAAGGGCATGAGCTGTGTAATCCAGGGAGAGCGTGCTGGCCTGCGGTGCAAACTCATATTAATAATTCAGGCCACTCTATTTTGGACTGGGAATGTGCTGCCCCTCACCTGTACTGCTCAAGGCAGTGCCTGAAATAGAAGCTGCAGCAGGAGCAGCCCCGAGGGCAGTGCCAGCAGCCTGGTGGGGCGGGCACTGCAGGGCAGCCTCTGCAAGGTCAGCCCTTCCCCTTGTTCAGGGAGCTTTGGCTGAGCTGTGACAGCCCAGAACTCTCCCCCAGACTGATGGAGGCTGGTCTGTCCTCCTGTGAGCCCAGCCAGGTAGGCAGGGTTCTGCATGAGGAGGATTTTCCCAAGGAATACTGAACCCCTGCCCAGCGCTGCCATGCCTGTGCTGGCATTGTCACCTCCCCCAGGACACCACACGGTGCTGGGGCCTTTAACAATTTAATTCTGCCACAAATGATCACTGCTCTGTTGCCTCAAGTGACTGCTTTTTATAGATTTTACCTCAGATCCTGAAAGCTGAATGACCAAATCTCTTTCAGGAAATTATTCTACCTTAAGCACCGGCTTTCGGAAATGCATCATCTGACTTTCTGGAAATTGCAAATGTTGCATTGTCAGAAAACACAAGTCACAAGCTGTTCTCCTGCACAGGCAGAAGTCACTGCTGCAGGTTTACTGGCATTCTCTGGCTTGTGCCGTCCTACGTCAGCTCCTAAGTGAATAATTTGAAAAGTTGTGTTTGGTGATGTTTGAACTCAAAGGGAGAGCAAGGGCTGTCCCAGAGCACTGGGATTCCAGGCATGGCATCTCCGCTCCCTGGAGCTTTTCACAGGCAGAATTTCCAGCACACCTCAAACCAGTGAGTGCTTAAAGCTATGTAGTTTGGTGCTAAGCACCACAACAATGCCCTGCTTATCACACAAGTTATCAGACATCAGAAGAACCACAATCCCTGAAGCTGCAATGGCTCCTTTCTTAACAAAGCAGAACATGAAAAAAACGTGGAACAACCAGAAACTGACAGAAGAGACAAATTGGAAGCTGTTAGTTTTGTAAATCAATTAAAATAAAAGGGAAGGAAAAAAAAATAACAAGAACAAGCCAAGAGTTTAGTTATGTGCTTCCTCAGCCAGCTGCAGAAATTGATTTGTGCCAATGGAAGGGGAGAGCCAGAACAGCCCAATTCACTCTCTCAGGAAGATGCTGAAATCACACCACATGACCCAAAATTTGAGAAAATTGCCGGAGAATGAGAACTGCTCCAGAAGGAGATGGTGTGTCATGGTGTGATGGGAAGGGTGTGCTACAGGAATTACCTGGGATGGGAAGGGTGTGCAATAGGAATTACCAATGATGGGAAGGGTGTGCAATAGGAATTATTCCAAATGATGGGAAAGGTGTGCAATAGGAATTACCTGGGATGGGAAGGTGTGCAATAGGAATTACCTGGGATGGGAAGGGTGTGCAATAGGAATTACGAATGATGGGAAGGGTGTGCAATAGCAATTATTCCCAATGATAGGAAGGTTGTGCAATATGAATTACCTGGGATGGGAAGGGTGTGCAACAGGAATCACTGTAAGCCTGAGCCCAGCTCCAAGGCAAGGGACGATGTGACAGCAGGGAATTTTCTGACTCCAAGCATTCAGCCTTTCTGTGTAAGAAAAGGGATTAATCAGTTTTTTTTTAATTTTCAACACTGAGCATCATCACTACCCATCTTCCTGACTCCAACAAGTGATTCCTTCCTCACTTCTTACCACAGGGTTTGGTGGCACAGCCAGCCCTTGCTCTGCCTTTCCACAACGCAGCTGTGCTGCAGAGGGGCAGAGCTGTGCCATGCTCTAAAGCAGGGCAAGCACTGCCTGCAGCCCCCTACTCCTTTATTTATGCATTTTTTTGTCCACTGCAACTTCCAAGCAGAGCCTTTCCCTGCTCCTGCATGCACAGGAGGAGCTGGGACTGCCCTGTCCCCAGGGGGATGTGTTTAGGGCTTGTTGACCTGTTGTTTCAGTGACCTCAGGCCTCTGCAGCAGAAATGATCGCTGAGAGGGCTCAGAGGAAGTGAGATTTCTGCTTCTAACAATAGTAATTCCTGTGACATTTTATTTTCTACACCAACTCATGGCTGTAAAAACAATTTTTATATGATGTGTAAATTGATCATTTCATTATTTTGTTAAAAACTAACAAGCATATACGCAAGCCATTTCCCTGAACCCCCTTGCTTGTTTTCTTTCTTAGGATCACAACCTGCTTTGAAACTTACTAGAATTTACTTTTTAGCCCAGGAATTTTACTGGGGTCATCTGATGGCCTTTAACTGAAACCCTGCTGGCTTCTGCCTCTGGGATGGATTGTGCTTTTGTTGTGTAACTAAAAGCCTGCTCTTTTACCTTCCCTGGGTGTAAAGACAGGGAAGAAATGAATGCAGAAATGAATAATACATCATTACACACAATATATGTAAAGACACATTATTTATATTCATATATTGATATACTTACAGTGCAAGTGACTATTCAAAACCTGAGTGTTTTCCAGCGGAGATCCGCACTGGACATGGGGAAGAATTTTTTCCCTGTGAGGATGGGGTGCCACAGGATGCCCTAGAATCCCTGGAAGCGTCCAAGGTCAGGCTGGACGGGGCTTGGAGCCCCCTGGGACAGTGGAAGCTGGAAGGGCTTTAAGCTCCTTCCCACCCAAACCTGTGGTTCAGCGGTTCCATGGCAAACCCAGAGCCTACCTAGGAGCCAGCTCCATTCCAGCTGCCCTGCCCGGGGCATTCCCGCGCCTCTCCCGGGATGCTCCGCTGCGCATCGCGGCGGTGCCTGGAGCCGCGCGGGGCCCCGCCGTGCCCAGGGGCTCCTCCCGGAGCTGCCCCCGGTAATTCCCGGTGGTTCCTCCCGGGGGTCCCGGTGCGCGGGCTCCCGGCGACCGCCCCGGTGACGTCAGCGCCACGCCGCGGTGACGTCAGGAGCGGGGCGGGCGGCAGCTCCCGGCGCGCCCCGCGCAGGGCGGGGGGCGGGAGCGGCGGCGCGGGGAGCGCGCCCGGCTCTGCGCCTGCATCCCTGCCCGCCGTGCCGCCGGCATGTTCTCCAGGAAGAGCCACGCCGACGTCAGGAAATCCACGCAGAAGGCGCTGGACCCCAAGCGGGACGTGCTGACCCGCCTGAAGCACCTCCGCGCTCTGCTGGGTGAGCGGGCGGTGGGCGCGGGGGGAGCCGGCCCCGGGGCCCTCAGACCCTCGGGGGGTGCCCGGGCAGAGCCGCGGCCGCGGACGGGTCTGCGAGCGCTGCTCGCCCTCCGCTGCCGTGTCCGGGAGACAGCCGCGAGCTGTAGCAGCTCTCCGAGGGTAGCAGCTCTCCGTGCTGTGGGCAGGGAGCCTCCTTAGCCAGCCCCGGGCTCTCCCCGCCTCAGAGGCGGCCCCGGTGCGCGCCCTCCGTGAGGCGCTGCCGGAGAAAGTTTGGGGTGCCCGGGGAAAGCCGCGTGTGCCGCTGTCCCGGGGCTCGCCTTGGGCTCGCTGTGGAGCTGCGGGGAAACGCTCAGCCCTGGTCAGTTTCAGAGACAAGCTCGCAGAAACTCCGCTCTTGTCAATATCATCAACTCGGGGTGTTTGAACTCTGAGAGAAGTCGCGCTGTGGCGTTTTATGGTGACTCCATGCTTGGGGCAAGGCTGCACGGGTCCAGGGGCGCCTTAGAGGTGACGGCTTCCACCCTGATGGTCGTGGAAAGCCGCCGATGGGTTTCGGCTGTGATCCTGCTGCAGGTGGAAAAGCCACCTATGAATTTCAGCTGTGATCCTGCTGCAGGTGGAAAAGCCGCCGATGAATTTCAGCTGTGATCCTGCTGCAGGTGGAAAGGCGCCGATGAGTTTCGGCTGTGATCCTGCTGCAGGTGGAAAAGCCACCGATGAATTTCAGCTGTGATCCTGCTGCAGGTGGAAAGGCGCCGATGAGTTTCGGCTGTGATCCTGCTGCAGGTGGAAAAGCCACCGATGAATTTCAGCTGCGAGCCGCGGTTCGGGAGGGTTTGTGTGGCCTATGTTCGGTGTTCACAGGCGGCAGGAGGAGCAGGGTGTCCTGAGGGGAAGAGGCTGTGCTGGGGTTAGTGCTGTACCCCGCTGGTTTGCAGGTGATGCCGGTTTGTGCCACACTTGTTCCTTGGGAGCTCCTTAAGGAGCTGGCTGGGAGCAGCCGCTGGGGGACAGAGTGTGGGGTAGATTTGGCCTGGATTTCTCAATTAAAGGTGTTTGTGGACGCTGATTTCAATTAAAGGATTTTGTGGGGCTGTGGTGTGGCCAGCTGCCCGGCTGGTCAGTGCAGGCACTGTCCGAGCAGCTCTGGGTATGCCCCTGATGTTTCTGCTCTTGGCAATTCCGGTGTAAACATTCATGGTAGCACGGGAGTGGCTTCTGGAAGATGCTTTCTTGATAGATAGATACCCTTGCCTGGGTGTCTTCTGTTCAGCACAGAAAAAAAACCTCCACACGTGGGAGTTGTTAAAAAATATCTCCCAGCATGTAAAGCTTTTGGTATAAAGGCTCAAAAGTAGTTGGATTTTTTTTTCTTGGTAGTTGGATTTTTTTTTCTTGGTATAAAGGCTCAAAAGTAATTGGATTTCTTTCTTCCCCTTCTCCCCAGATGTGTCTCTCCTTGTCCTGGCCAGGGGTAGGATTATGTGTGTGTCTGCTTCTCCAACTGCTTCCCTCAGGCCACAGTGCTACACGTCCCCCAAATAGCTGTTCCTGCTCTCCTGTTTCCTTGGGAGATGCCAGCTCCTCTTCCTTTGCTAGTTTAAATCACGGGAATTTAATTGTAAACAAAATGTCAGTTACTCCTCTGTGATCCCACTGGAGCAGGAGGATACGGATCAGAGGGAAGACGATCATAGGGGAGGGATGAGCAAAAGGAATGTGTGTTTCCACAAGTAAGGGCTCATGTGAGCTTTGGATTGCTTCAGGTCCTTTAGTGGCACATCTGTAAATTTGTCCAGTGCCCAAAGTGAAAGAAAATATTCCACTTAAGTTGGTGTTGGTTATGTTGGTATCTCTCAAGCCTCCAATGGCCTTTAGGATCTGATTTCCATCTCTGTAGGGTGCTCTGTCCACATGGCAGGGCAAAATGCTACCAAGATCAACAACAGGACTTAAAATTGGGTGTTCAGTAGTGTTTGAGAAGTGACCAGAACATTTCCCTTATTTCTTTATTGCTACGGAGACGTTCTCACGGCCAGAACTTCTGTTAACTTAGTAAAGTTCTGCATACAGTTTGTGGAAGTGCCTTTTAGTAGTGTGGCCTTTTTTTTTTTAAGATAGGATTAAAAAGCAATGGCCTGACAAAAAATGGTGGGGATGTACAGATTTGGCTCTTCCCCACTGCCTGGCCACAAATGAAGCTTCTGCTCTTTCCCAGAGTGGTTTCTGTGGGACTTTTCTAGGACAAAACCAGACCACTGTGCCTTAAGAAGTTTTTCTGTGGCTCTTCTTGGGTAAAAATACCATTTTTATATTGAAACTTCTCTTTCAATAATGTGTTCTCCTTGGGCACAGGAGTCAGAAGTGCTGCTGCTGACAGATGTGGGATGCTGCTTTGTCCAGTGCTTTCAGCCTTTTCTCTGACAGCAAACACATGGGAGACACACAGAATTAAGACTAAATGTGGAATTTGTAAGGTTACCAAGTACAATCCTTATTGTTGCCTTTAAAACATACCTGTTATGAAAGCCCACGCCTTCCATGGACGTGCCTTGATCAGAGATGAGATGACAAAGGAGAGTTAGCGGGGTTTTGCTTCTGGCACTGCTTGGCCTCTTGTAGTTTTCTGCACAGCTGCAGGACCAATGCTGGCTGGGCAGAAACTTTCATTTACGGACAGTCAAAAGGGGATGTGTGCACACTTCCTGCTGAATTCAGGGCTGAGATTGTTCTGTAGAGCTGCTGTGAAATTGGAGGTGTTAACATCATTTTGGAAGTTGCTCCAGTTGGAGGGGTGTTTTAGTAACGGGCTGTTTCACGCTGACATACTTTTTTTGAAGATAAGTAAGAATTGTGCATTATTTCTGGGGTGAGGCTGGTCATAAAGGTTTATCATTAACCAGGGTGTGGCTGCAAAATTCTCTTCATCTCCTTTAATTTTTCAAGTACTTGAGGATTAAGAGAGCTTTGAGAAAATAGCATGAAGTGACTTTGGAAGTTCATGGAGTTAAGGGATGATTATCACAGGTGTCTGTGATAACATTTAGCAGCTAAGAGGAAAATAGAAGGCAAGGTTGTGTGGTAGGGACAAGCTTAGTGTTCCCTCTGAGTTTTTTTTTTAATGTGAGGAACAGCAATGAGAGTTTGGCAATAGACTCAGGCTCTTAAGTGGTACCTGAGTGTTACCCTAAATTTTAAATTTAATAGTAAGGCAATTCAGTGTGACTGGCAGTTATTGGTGAGCCCACATGTCCTGTTTATAGAGAAGAAATAGGGTGTGACCCTGGTGAGTGTCTCACTGTTTCCTGAGTGTGCTGCAGCAGCTCCTGTCAGGTGTTTGCTAAACTTGAGAGCTTGTCCTGTGTGGGAAAGGGGGAAATTCTTTGGGTTTGGGGTGGCTGCTGATGCTTGCCTGAGGGGTGAGTGCTCTGGGTGCCTGTGTGCAGCTGTAGCGACCTGGGAGAGAATTCCATGAACTTACTCTGGGAGTAAACACAAAAATAAACCCAAATTCCTGCACTTCAGCCCCAAGCTTGCTGCTTCATTTCCTCGGGTGCTTCTCAACTCCTTCAGGCAGTGCACTTCCCCAAAGTCAGGGTTTTATCTTCTTATCTCAAGTGATAAATGGCACAGGAAACTTTCCCCGATGTTTTCCATGTCTGAAGCAGGAATGAGCCCTGCTGGAAGTTACACACATCTGTGGGAAAGGGCTGTGGCTGTGGGGATGCAGCTCAAATCACACTCACCCCTGAGTCACCACCGAGATGCCACATTTAGAAAAAAGGAGGATTTGCTTTCTTGGTGAGGCAGTTCCTTTCTCCTCCCGTCGCAATTTAGAGGGAAAGTTTCCTTTTTGTTTAGATTTTAATGACCTCATTCCCTCGTATGAAATCCCTGTAAATGAAAGCCTTGTTTTCCCCTGGAGTTGTGTTTAACAGGATGCATTCATGGAGAGGAATAATTGCACTTAGCTTGCAGATTCAGAGCAGTAGTTTGCAGGAAACAAATATCACGTTAAAGAGTTTCCCTGCTCTAATTGTTTCCATAGCACAAGCAGCCAAGCAGAGCCTTACTGCTGGAAAGGTACTAATTTAAATAAAAATCAGGTTGTGCAGGACTAAAGTTATTCTTTCTTCTGTAGTTGTGAGATACTATTGAGCCTTCTTGCTGGAATCAGCTTTATTTTGGGTAACAAATGGGTTTCTTGCAAGGTGAGGCTTCAAGGAGGATATTAATATTGATATTAATTTATTAATTTTGGCTCTTCATCTTCCTCTGGGGGAAATGAGCCAACTTTCCTTGACAAAACCAGTTGCAGTAAGGACCAAAGGGAGGAAATTCATGTGTGCTTAGCAAGTGTCAGGCTTAGAAAACAGTGGACTTCTTTCTTTGTAGAAAATAAACTTATTTCAAATTTCAGACCCCAGTTAACACTTAGGAAAGTGCTACGTGCTCGAGTTGCCATTATTCTAATAAATGAATTGAGAATATGCTGTTTTCTGCTTTGATCTGCTTGCCAGATGAATGCAGAAGGTGAAATTGCATCCAAAAAAAATTTTTCCTCCTTTTTCCCTCTCTTTTTCCCTCTCTTTTTCCCTCTC